TGCCCTCAACCCCACCCTCCCCGTGTCTGTATCCATTGGTTGTGCTTATATGCATGCATACAAGTCCTTTGGTTGATCTCTCCCCCTTAGCCTCACCCTCCGCTGCCTTCCCTCTGAGGTTTGAAGTTCTTTATACATTCTTTCTTACCTCCTTGAAGAATGCCGCAGGTGCCCTTTCAGATCCATCCAATGTTCGCAAAAGGAACATCGGCCAAGATAATGTACTCATCTTGTATCCTATTTTAAAAATTAAATCAGGTATCATGAAAAAGCCTTGCTATGATATTACAGCAAGTTGGTATTAAAAATAGTATTCATTTACTATTCTCCAGAGAATAACTTTCTTATTGAGGAACTCAGGAAATGGGCCAGAGGAGCAGCTACACTCTCCAATTGGTGCTACTATAGCCACTGTATTATTTGGCAACAATGCTACAGTGGAGTAGAAACTCTCATTTTAGAGAGACCAGTAGCTGGAGATCATCAACATCCATGTATATCTTGGGAATGGGCCATTATACTTGGGTAATCCAAGCCAGAACCCAGGAGAGCTACCATTTCTTACCAACAGCCTCACAAGGAGGGCAAAGGCTGCAAAAGATTTCCAGGCCCTCTTTTTCCCCTGCTTTATTTCCATTCAGAAAAAGACAGTTTTCTGTCAAACTCAGTAAATGCACACTAACACAGTGCATTTCATTTTATGTAAATTTCACCTTAAAAAGCTGCATAAACACAACTCTAATTAATAATATGCATGCTAAAGTATTCAGGAGAAATGTAATGATGTCAATTACTCTCAAATGTATTTTAAAATAAGATGGATTGATAAATTCATAGAAGGGCAGATAGATGAGTGATAAAGCAAGTATAATAAAATGATAATGATAGAACCTAGGTAATGGGTAGGTAGGTATTCATTGTAAAATTATTTCACCTTGTATGTTTGAAATTTTTTCATACAATATGTTAGAGGAAAATACAGCTCTCACTTTAGCAATCCTTACACACACTACATAAACATGATCTCTTAGAATATGTATTAGTTGCTATCAAAATAGGTATATTTTCCAGAGATCTTATAATTAATGGTGACTATCACAGCATCTGGAAACAGGGATCTGCTGGTTTTACTGCAATCTGTTTCAGGCAGCACTTGCCTGCCTTGATACCAGAATTGGAGAGAACTTGTCATACATTCCTGATGATTACATGCAGTAAGATAGGGAGGCATATGAATCACTGGCAACAGGTCTATCAATAGTATAAAACCCGCCGAAACCGGTTTGGCTCAGTGGATGGAGCCTCGGCCTGCGGACTGGAGGGTCCCGGGTTCGATTCCGGTCAGGGGCGTGTACCTTGGTTGCGGGCACATCCCCAGTGGGAGATGTGCAGGAGGCAGCTGATTGATGTTTCTCTCTCATCGATGTTTCTAACTCTCTCTCTCCCTTCCTCTCTGTAAAAAAATCAATAAAATATATTTTAAAAAAAATAGTATAAAACCCACAAAAATGTTCAGACAGAAAATCATCCCATAATAACCCTGTACCAAAACCCCCTAATATAATAAGGGAAATAATTGTTGTTAGGAAAAATGGGGAAGGGGAGATTTATTGCCTACTCCCTCAATATTATTAGTGATATCTAACAAAGTTATCCACAGCATATATTTTCCACACTGTGGTCAGAATATTGCATAAGAATCATTCTCTGTTCCTTATGCCTTTCTCTTACCCCTTACCTTATCTTATTGCATCATATACCATGATTTTTCTAAATTTAATATTGTTCTTAATTCTGTAACTCCCTAAAGTCAAACAGAGATTAAAAGGCTAAAAAATAAAGTGCATAGAAAATTCAAACACAGATAAAACTAATCTATGATGTCAGGAAGTCTAGGCAGTGGTTATCTTTGGGAAAGGGGTAGTTATGACTAGAGATCAGCAGGATTGGGGCTTCTGGGGTTCTGATAATCACGCATCTTGATTTGGATGGTAGTTATACAGGTGTGTTCATTTATAAGCTGTACACCTATGATTTATACACTTTCTGTTTGTATGTTAAAACTTTAAAGTATCTTTTAAATAATAACTTTTAAGATTTAAATAAATAAACCCATTTTAAAAAGGAAAATTAAATAAGTTGTGTTATATTAAAATGGAAACTCAACTATTCAAAAGTGCCTAATGAGCAAATTGGCAATACTGTATTTTTATATTTAGTGTGAAAATATACACTAATTAGCATGTGTTGTTATGTATTTCATATTTTTAGTTAACAAATTCTAAATGTAATTTGAAAAATAATCAATCATAATTTTGGCTATGTGTTTGAAATGCTGGCAATCACAATAGCTGTATTTCGTTTAAACAAAATAAGAAACATATTGTCATATTATAGACAGAAATAAAATCCAAACAGGAAAGCACTAAGCCTCAGGTTTACACACCTCTTACAGAATTCTGTATGATTCCAGAAATGTTATAAAAGTAAACAATAGAAAATATGAATGATATGAAGGGAAAAAGCAGAAAACACACACACCCTTAACCATCTTCTTGGAATAACACATCTCTTATTAGTTTTTAAAAATATTTAAGCCAAATTAGGAATAATTAACAATTAGAGCAAAAACAGTATAAAAATACATCACTAAAAATAGTTATTATTAATATATTAAATTTTTATTCTCAGGGAATTTTTCACCAGTAGGAGACAAAAAAATTCCATTTTCTCATTGTGCTTTAAAATAAGGAATTTTCCTTTTCAGTACTGTAAAGAACAAAAACCAAAACCCACCATTCATTCAGAATACAAAGTGATACATGAAATCACTTATTTTCTATAGAATATCATGGTACACCTAAGTGGTAAAAGAAAAAGTTTGCTCAAAATTAGTCATACAGTTTTTACGTTTTAAAAACTTGGTCAAAATGGAGAACTTGGACCTTAAAAACCTTTACTGGTAAGTTCCATCCATCTCCTCCTTTTCAAAGACCTAAAGCTACTCACTCCTTCCTCTCTCACTGAGATTTCTTCCCACTACAGATGAAATGGAATTCCCAAATTTGCATCTAGAACCTGGATGTGGAATCCCCTATGCTCATCCCCATACCAAAAATACTGAATGGCCCAGTGGACAATATTAAGGGAGGAAGTGACTTGCTATCTAATGCTGTAAACTACTCCCTCAGAAGGACTTCTGAATCTGCATGTGTAATCTAGTAGAGCAGCTTTTGACATTTCAACTTTAAAGAAAGAATGAGTCTTTCCCTGGAGTGGGAAACCTTTAGCACACATAAACCAAATATGTACTTAGTGAAACTCTCTAACATTATAGTACTGATGAGTTCCTCTCTCATACATTTTCCATAGTAACCACCTGACCACCTATTTGTAAGAATGTCTAGGAGGACAGATTTTTAAAAGGCCATTAAAACTATTTCTGAATATTACATTAGTAAGAATATGTTATTTTAAAAACTGTTTATCCTTACCCAGTGGAGGCTGAAGTAAGTCCCCTTGCTGTTCACATGTGCCAACGGGTTGTATGTCTGCAGAATCAACAAGTCTCCAAAAATCATTTTTATCATCACTACCATCAAGGCGTAAACGTAACCTGGAACCAGTAACTCCGATAATCGTGGCAATACATGTTGAAGTCATATTGCGAGGGTCATGCGCTTCCAGTTTCATACCAACTTTGAATTCATTAGTTGGTGGGATCTTAGACTACACACACACACACACACACACACACACAATTTTGTTAAAGTGCATCAACTATAAGAAAAACAAATAGTCAGTTATGTTACCAGAATACTTGAGGAGCATTTTAAGTAATGGTCACAGCAGATGGTGAACAGAGTTAAGAACTTTAAGGGTCAAGAAAAAGATCTTCAAACCCTCCCCTTGGCTTGATGTGCAGCATAAAAACACTGCCAACTGCTGGTTTTACTCATTTTCCCACTTCCAGGCAACCTAAATGTGGCTTTTAAAATGCACCCTGTGCCCTAACCGGTTTGGCTCAGTGGATAGAGCGTCAGCCTGTGGACTGAAAGGTCCCAGGTTCAATTCCGGCTAAGGGCATGTACCTTGGTTGCGGGCACATCCCCAGTGGGGGGTGTGCAGGAGGCAGCTGATCAATGTTTCTCTCTCATTGATGTTTCTAACTCTCTATCCCTCTCCCATCCCCTCTGTGAAAAATCAATAAAATATATTTTAAAATAAATAAATAAATAAAATGCACCCTGAGTGGCTTTCTAAAATAATAATCTGATTAGGCCACTCCCCTTGAAATAAGCCAACTGGTAGCTCACCACTGCTTAAGATAAAAGTCCAAGTACTCATTACAGTTTAAAAGCCCCCACAACTTTAACCTCATTCCTACACTATTGCCTCTACCCCACTCTGTGCTTCAGCCACGCCATCCCTCACACTCAGGTTCCCTTACATCCATGTGCCTTTGTTTTAGATGTTCTCTCTATCTGGAATATTCTTCCCTTCATTCCAACCGTCTCAGATAGCACCTTTTTTGTGAGCCCTCCCACTATAGAGTAATCACACTTCTCATAATTAATTATTTACATGTCTATCTTTCCCTCCAGATGGGCAATCATAAGGGCTTCATATATCTGACACTGAAGAAATTCTTAATGAATGAATGCAAAGAGACCAGCTGGCTCTTAAATGGCACTACCACAATCCCACCATCTCCTCCCACCACCTGGACCTAACACTCACACAGACACCTTTCAACAAGTTAATAGTTTACATTAATATGTTCAACATCTACAGAATTTTAGCATACCTGTCTGAAACACTCTACAGGAGCACTTAAAGATCCAGTCTCTTTCAAGTAAGTGTCCCAATGGAAATCATCTGGAAATAAATATACAAAATATTTCTTAATATATGCAATATGTATACTAATTTTCAAGAATAAAATGGGGTTTGGTTCCATATCTCTTCAAAAATATTTCCTAAGTAAGAGCAGATTCAAACTTCCTGATCTACATTTGATTAACAGTATAGAAATAAAAAATAAGGCAACGCCAGATCTTCTCAATGTAATGAGGACTACAGCACAGTGATTCTAAAAATGTGGATTCTATAAACAACTAAAGGATGTTTTATAGAGTAATAGCAAATTCTACTTATTTATCTCTAATATAAATTTATTAAAGATGTGTTTTTACCATTTCATCCTATTAATGTGATGGTGCTTTGTTTTTCAAGGGAAGCTAAAGGTGTTTAGGTGTGTGTTCTAGCAGAATTTTATGGAAAGAAAAAATCTGAGAATCAGAGTTGTTTCTCAATTGACTAGTTGATCTCCATCCAGGTGTCAAGAACATGATGGCAGAACAAAGCAGTAAACCAGTCATCAGTACAGTCACTGATATAGGTTATTTTAATCTACATTTTTACACACTCTTGCTGTCCTTTCTCTCATTCAGTCTTCATAATATATTATAATGCTAGAGGAAAAGGTCAGAAAGCAGTACTCTGCCTGGCCTGAACACTTCAATTCACTGTGCTAGTCAGATGCCAAAGACACTGAAAGAAAAACTTGATAGCTGTATTAATTCAAACAAAGTTTAATTCTCATCAACCATCAGGTTTTTCTGTACTCTTTTAATTTTTTCACTATAAAAATATTGGTTTTGGGCCTGGCCGATGTGGCTCTATGGTTGATTGTTGACCTATGAACCTGGAGGTCATGGTTCGATTCCCAATCAGGGCACACGCCCGATTATGGACTCAATCCCCAGTGTGGGGCATAACCAATGATTCTCATCACCGATGTTTCTCTCTATCTCTTCCTCTCCCTCCCTCTCTGAAATCAGCACAAACATATTTTTTAAAAATATTGGTTTGGACATTTCCCCTTCCTGGGGGAATTTACATTACTAACCTGTTATGTATCCTTTGAAGGATATAACACACTGAAACACACACACAAAGTGCTGACAAATGATTAACAGCCAGCTTGAAAATACAAACAAACAAAAAGCCTGACTGGTAGTGTTTGCAGTCTTCTGTGATTTAACTACTACCACCATACCTGATTGCAAGGTGCCAAGGAGAAGTCACTAACCACAAAGTTGGAAAGAGATGTGTGTAAATGGCTCTCCCAAGCTGGTGTGAATCAGCTTTAGCATGCCATTGATATATGAGTGTGGATTTATATGTGTATGTACAAATATTATGTCATACTTAACACTGTACACCCTGCTTTTTAAAATTAACAATAAATTTAAGAGACTATTCCATTAAAAAAATATTGTGTTTAAGTCCACTTTAGATGATGTGAAGTGAATATTATCACAGTGCTGAAAGGTATACAGCAGAAATGTTGAGACTATGGGCTCTGGAGTCAAACCTGCCTTCTTCTACTCAAGCTCAGCCTATTTCTAGCTATGTGACCCTGAGCAAGTCATTTCACTTTCTCAGCCTCGGTTCCTTCTTTTATAAAATGGGGAATGTAATAAATACAGTACAAGGTATTTTGAGAATTAAGTGAAGTAGCATACATGTAAGTCACTCAATAAATGGTATCCTATCTAATAAAAGAGAAACATGGTAATTGGCGTATGACCGCTACCCTTCCCATTGGCTAATCAGGGTGATATGCAAATTAACTGCCAGCCAAGATGGCGGCCGGCAGCCAGGCAGCTGGAAGCGAACATGAGGCATGCTTGCTTCAGTGACTGAGGACTCCAACATTCCCCGCCTGTCACTGTGGGCCTCTGAACAGGCAGTTTGAAACATAGTAACATATAGAAGCTAAAAAAAACTCCAGAAACCTGCTTTCAGCGAGCCGGGATCTCAGACCTGGAGTTGATACAGTGTTTCGATTATAGAACACAAACAAAGGCCAGATACCTGCTTTCAGCAGCAGAGGCCTCAGAACT